TAAAGGGTTTTTTTTCATAGACATATATTTGTATTTTGAGGAGGGAGCAAACTCTACAGCATGTAGTGAAAATGTGAGTCATTTGTTAACATGTAAGACTTGAAAAGTAATGGCTTTTTTTTACAGAAAGAGCATAATGCCCTCTCAAACTCTACACAGGGCCTTCACATGCCTCATATTTATGCAGAAAAGCTTCTCCCTGACTTAATGCTTGAATGACAGGATTTGCATTTTCCCTCTCAGGAAATACTGTGTTAGTGCTCAGGACAAGAGTCTTGGCACTGCACACTGTGCACACTATTGCACTATAGGCAAAGAAAGTCCCCAGCTCTCTGCGGTTTGGGTGGGAGAATTTCCTACTCAAAATGTGTTCTCCTGAAGTCATTCCCAAAGAGCAAACTTATGTAAATGAAGTATTGCACCAAGTTCTTCCACCTCCACTTGCCTCACTCAAACTTATATATGAAGTAAATTTCCAACTTCCAGAGCTCAATCTTTTCCCACCCTTCATATTTCTAGATTTGTTGATGACCATTTTTTCTGTATTTAGCCATGCAAAACAAAAGTTAAGCACACAAAGGCAACAGGATCCCAACACCTTATTTCCTTTGGTACTCCATATGATCTCATTTCAGTGACTGGGAGCAGTCAGCATGGATTTATTAAGAACAAACTGTGCCTGACCCAGCCGGTGGCCTTCCATGGTAAAATGACTGATTTGTGATTGAGGGAAGAGCAGTGGTTGTCATTTGCATGGATTTTAGCAAGGCTTTTGACACAGGCTCCCACAGTTTTTTTATACCCAGGTTGGGACATTATGGTCTGGATGGGTAGGCAACCAGATGGGTAAAAGCCCGGTTGGATGACGAGGCTCAGCGGGTCATGGTTCCTGGTCGGACCCTACCTGTATGCTTGTGGTAAGTGGGGTATCACAGGTCTGTCCTGGGACCTGTCCTGTTTAACGTCTTTATCAGTGACCTGGAAGAGGTGGAGGAGCGCGCTTTCATCAAGTTTGCAGACGACACCAAGTTGGGGGGACAAGTCAATATACTGAGGGGTAGGGCTGCCATTCGGAGGGATTGAAACAGGCTGGAGGAACGGGACAACAGGAACCTTACGAAATTCAAAAGGACAAATGCCAAGTTCTGCACCTGTGAAGGAAGAAGCCCCTGCAGTGACATAGGCTGGGGGCTGCCTGTCTGGGGAATAGCTCTGCAGAAAGGACCTCGGGACCTGGGGACAGCGAGCTGCACAGCAGCCAGCAGCATGACCTGGCAGCAATGATGGGCAACAGCCTCCTGGGCTGCATTGACAGGAGCAGAGCCAGTATATGGAAGCAAGTGATCGTCCTCCTCTCATCAGCACTTGTGGATACCACATCCAGTTTTGGGCCCTCTGGTCTAAGAAAGACATCAGCAAAGGGCAGTTGGTCCAGCAGAAGTCACCAAGTTGGTCAGGGGCTGGAGCACTTGTCCTGTGCAGGGACGCCAAGGGCTTCTTTAGCCTGGTGAAAAGATGGCTTGTAGGGGGGAACGATAACTCAATAGCAGCCACTCAGTAGCTATGGGGAGGTGACAGAAGATGGAGATGAGCTCTTCTCAGTGATTCTTGGTGGGAGCATGAGGCACAGTGGTCATTAGTTGAAACAATAGATGTTATAACGAAAGCTGTTTCTCCATGAGGACAGTCAGGCAGTGGCACACGCTGCCCAGAGATGTTGTGCATCTTTGGAAGTTTTCAAGGCCAGATGAGATAAAACCCTGAGCCTCATGACTGACCCTGCCTTGGGCAAGACGCTGGACTACAGACCTCCTGAGGTCCCTTCCCACCTGAATTATCCTGTGGTCCTAAGAGAGCTTCTGATGATGAACAGTCTGTGACCATACGATTTGTTTCTATATAGCTTCTGTATTAGTTAGGAGTGACGGATGAAACTTGCTGCTCACAGGGTATTTGTTGGAAGCGGACTGCAACTTCTGATATCTGTGTTGCCAGAGAGCTCCAGGATACAGGGTGATCTGGACTTTGGAAGTGTCTAATCACCCAAAGAGTGAGATTTTGGAATAAATTTCCCAATGTAGTTGCAGGGGGAAAACTGCTGAAATAGTTTTAAAATGGAGGTTGATAAATTTATGAACAGGATTATGTGATACAATTGCCAGCAATGGCAGGGACAGAATTCAGTGACCTAGGAGCTTGTGCAAGCTTACGACTTTTGTTTTGACAAATGCAAGGCAAAGCTCCTCATCTTCAAGAATAAATAAATAAGTGGAAAATTAAACATGGTAAATATTTCATTGACACTTCATACTGTGAAATTGAAAGCAATCTTTTGCACAGTTCAAAGTTATTAGTTTGTAGCTGTAAGGCTTGATAACCATGATAACAAATGGTATTTATATTCTAGTGCAAAATGGGTATCAGAACCAAAATGCACAAATATGGACAAACTTAATTAAGCTGTGATTGGTTTATTCATATTACAGCAGCTGAAGGCTATATGATAAACAGCTACAAAGCAGGTGCAGCATATATCATTGGCTTGATTATTAAAAATTGGCATTTTATTCAATTCCAAATTAAAAAAAGGAGATTGTATACAAATTCAGAGAAAGTCAGTCATGCTATAATTGTATTGTATCATAATAAAAACCTAAAGTAATTGCATAGTTCCAGTTTGTCATGATAAATCAAGCCTGAATCTGAGCACAGGAAGATCTAAAAAGAGTCAAAATGTTCTCCGTGATGCACGGGGTCAGGATATAATGTAGAGACGGTCAAATTTAGAATGATAACACTTATATTTTTATAGCCAAGTCACTGAAACTTTGTATAGCAGTTTCAGTGGAAGGAAAGGCATGTTTCCACAGTAGCATACTGTACAAAGGCAGCATTTTTCTATTGAGATACCTACCAAAGATCTTGCTGGAGCCAGGGGAACCACAGCCAAAGTTGTGTTTATATCTCCTTCGGTTTTAATAAAGCAGCAGTCCACAACCCTAACAGGCATATTCATACTTACTGTGAGGTTATATGGAATGCCACTGACCTCCTGCAGCAGGTTTGGGTACGGTCCTGAGTGCTCACGAGAAGGGACGAGCCCTGAAACCTGGAAGCAGGAGGGAAGAGCTCCATGTCTCGCTGCTGCTGGTGCCACTGAAAGAGCGTGCAGGGAGGCAAGCCCCCACGGCATGGTTGGTCTGCTTCTCAGCAGAAGTCCAGTCGGATGCGATAGGGCTATTATGGGCAAATCTGGGAGGGGTAAGGTACAATTTTGTTTTCACTGCACAGCACCATAAAGCGAATAAATAGTGCTTAGCCTATAATGAAACTCGACAAAATTCAGTTCAGCGATATCAGGATTGATCACTGTAAACTGGCATTGCTATTTCCACATACCTCCAAAAAGCTGCCCAGTGTAATGTACAAAGCAACTGCACAATTTCAGAGTTACAACAGCTACAAGTGTTATTAACCAGCAGAACCACGACTAGAACATAGATGGTAACTTAGAAATACATGACAGAAATATCATATTGGGAAAACGAGCAGAGAAACAAGTTTGAAAGGGAATAACATCAGTTAATGTCATGATTGAAAACCCCTTACAAGTTCCCATGCTCTAAGTTCACATTGTTTTTCTTAAAGAAAATAAAAGATTGGTTTTGAGTTTTGTGTGTACAGTGCCAGTGCCTTGTGCAGGGTATACTGCCTGGTAGGCATTTGATCAGTGTCAATGCTATTAAGAAAGCAAGGGCTTGTTTCAGTCACCTAAACAGGGGTACGCAGCGCCGTGTGAGACACTGAGTCCGCAGCAGCCGGGCCAGAATGGGGAAGATCTCCCTGAAGTCCTGCAGAACACCTGACAGCATCAGGCAAAAATGTGGGATATGCTAGAATGCCTTCAGTAGCAACAGATGTCTATCCTCAGGCAGTGTAAACCGAATCCTAAATGTATGTGTTTTACAGGGAAAAAGGATACAGCATGGTTATAAAAGTCATGATTATTTCTGAGGATTTTTCCAATGGGGATCTGGGAAAGGAACTTTTTCATCTAGTGACACGACCAGGCATTGCAAATATTGATCAAGGAAAAATTTATTTACAGAGATTTTTCAAATACAAACATAAAATAGCACATATTATATATATATTTTTTACAAAAATGAATATTGAAATAATAAACATGGTACAGCACAATACAACATCAATGAGCTAAACATAACAGCAACAGAAATCTATGTCTGGAAGAAGTTTCCTGTTAGTCGTACATAACCAACAGAGCTCTACAGTACCGTGAGTGGAATTTCCAATGGACAGAAAAACGTCCATTTACTGCACTTCATAAAAGTACTATAGGGAAAGGCTACATATGCCAAGTAATTATGTTGCATTTTTGTAATAATGCTGAAAACACAGAGGCTTAATAAAAGTTATATAGGGCTGAATAAGCAGTGGCTAAATGTTTGAGGAAGAAAAATGTGTAGAGAATATACAAAATACTGATAAAGTGGCTTATTGGTCCTTTTATTAAGTTTAATGTATAGATTAAAAAGTGTTGCAACACTGAATTTTAAACCACCAGAGAGAAGTAAAAAAAAAGGAAAAGAAAGAAGAATCGCACCAAAAAAAGTTTCCTCTCTACTCATTTTGTGCCATGGTCAACATCTGTGCGTGCGTGTGTGCTTTCGGGAGCGCCGTGCCGGGGCTGCCGGGGGCGCTACCCCAGCCCCCCGGCA